GTTATATATTATAAATTATAAGTAAAGAGTTCTCAGTGTAAATCATTATATAAATGTAAAATACCAAGTTCTATTCTTTTATTGATTATTGTAAGATAAAGTCTAAAAATAAGGAAAAAAAACTGGAAAAAAAGCCCAGTTGAATCCCACCACCAGTTAACGTTTGGTGCCATTTCACATGTGTACATACAAATACATTTAGGCTCATCCTGAACAGACAGTTTGATTTCCCACTTAATTAACATAACAGTAGCATTTTATGCTTTTAAATGTCCCTAACATTGGTAATACTACATCAGAATTCTTTTGGTTAATTCTCCTATAGTTACAGAAGAGAAGGGGTAATTATGAATTGAGATGCCAAGAATAAGAAATTGTATTTATCAAAACTAAGTGCAGTTCTTTTTTATTTTTCTTTCTAATTCTAGAAGATTTGTGTGACTGCAGGCAGTTTCTACCTGATTCTGATAAGTATATTCCCTACTAATTAATGTCATTTTTATTTTTAAGGTCAACATCGTCAACAGCTTCCAACAAGGAAATGATGACCTTACTAATCAAACAAAGGTGGGGTCAAGGAGTCAGTTTCTTATTAAACCAAGGGAGACTACACTTTACATAGAGACTGGATTGCATTTCGAGTTTTTTAGTGCCCTGTCAATGTTTGGTTGGCAGAAAATAAATTAGTAACTACATGTGGCCTTTTAGAATCTTGAGGGACTTCCAGAGAAGTCCTACAAACCTACAGTGCTAGCCTCGAGGTTTACCCATGCTATTTTCTTCTTTATGGAACTGAAATGTGGTGGACTTAATATTTCCCCGTGTGTGAGTGTGGGAGGGCACAGGGATGCAGTCACGCACCACCACCATCGCGAGGTTTGGCCATGTCCTCATGCTGCCTTATGACTATTTCCTTCCTATTGTTCTTGTGATCAACTCACTTTCTAATTAAGTAATTTTTAAAAACTTACATTTTTGTGGATAAAAATCAGTGGCTAGAAATCAGCTTCACTTGTAAGAAACAGATGGTAACTGTAAAAAATATATGTAATACAAACAAAACCATGTTGTTAAATTCTATCCATATTCTCTTGCTGACAAATCTCTGACCCTACTGTCTGAGTCTAAGTCTTTCTGTCTCTGTTACAAGAGAGATTAGTAGACAGGGAGCTTTTAAAGACCTATCAGCACTGAATGGAGACTTTCTCATCAACGATTGCAGAAAGATGAGAGAACAAATAGAGAGGGAATAACTTTCTCATTCATTCAACAACAATTTGCATATTCGCTATAGGACAGATATTAGCATATAGTAGGCAATGATCTTTAATGCTATGTCTGCATAGCCCCTAAAATTGTCTTATGAGCCACGTAAAATCATTGGGTGGCACATGCCCCACAGTTTAGAAAGATTGTAGTCGTTAACAGAACAGGGACTTTCAATTTCTAAGCACCAGAGACTGTTGTGAGGATGACAAGGGGATCAAGTGCTAGACAGTGCCTGTTAGCTTCATCCCCATCCTCCTCCTCCTCACTGCTACTATAATTTCCAGGGAGAGAGCCACCGGCCTCTACAGCGATCCAAGAGAAGATGGGTTCTCACCACCTTCGAGCTGGAGGAGGAAGACCCAGGACCCTTTCCCAAACTTGTTGGTGAGGTAAGGCAGCTACTCCCAGGGAAAGGCCCCCTCCTCATCTCTGATTGAGCGTCTCTTTTGGCAGGAGGATTACGTCTTGAGAGGCTATGCGCTAGTGCGGCCAGTAGTGAAGTGGTAGGAGGAACCCTCCTCTGGGGCTCGAGATGCCTGGGTTCTAAAACCCACTCTACCTCCACCTGAGGATGTGACTTTGGGCAAGTCACTTCTGCGTGTGTGTGAGCGCTGAGAAAATCAGAATCACATATGGCAACAGGCTGGTCGGTTCCAGCCTGCAGGCCTGTTTTATTTGGCCTATGCAGAGTTTAAAAAAAAAAAAAAATTCGTTATTTAAAAATAAGGAAGATTGCGGTTACCAGAGGCTGAGAGTGGGAGAAAAGGAGATTTTTAAAAAAAGAGAGCGAAAGTAGAATAGTGGTTGTCTGAGGCTGAAGGGGAGGGGAGAATGGGGAATTATTGTTTAATGGGGACAGAGTTTCAGTTTTGTAAGACGAAAAGAGTTCTGGAAATGGATTGTGGTGATGGTTGCATAACAATATGAATGTACTTAATACCACCGAACTGTACACTTAAAAACGGTTAAGTTGGTAAATTTTATGTTATGTGTATTTTACCACAATAAAAAAAATTGGAAAAGATAAGCGAGACTGTATGTAAAATCCTGCACTTCTAGAGACTTTTTAAAAATTGGAAGACCTGACTACATGGAACCTACATTCCCACATGGCAACAATTAGATGGGGCTTGAGTTACGTCATAATTCTCACCTCTCTCTATTGCCTCCCTCAACTGAGGTTGAGTATCAACTGAGGCACCAAAGAAGTCACATGGTGGTGTTGGAATGCCAGAGTTTTTATACTTGGCCCATGTCGTTCATTTCCACTGCCTTCCTGACCCCAGTTGGCCTTTGAATTATATACTGAGTGATTGACATTCTATGATTCCTAGGAAAAAAAATAAAAAATAATTCATATTTTTGCAACATTTATAAAAATAGTACGTGCCTACTATAAAAAACACCTCCAGAAAGTTTTCAAGTCTCAGTGGTTAAAAGTGTATAATCCCAAGATTCAGGGGGACTCAGTGGGTTCATATTCCAGATGTGCCTCATCCTTACTCTGTAAGTTAGATCTCCTTTCTGTCTCCTTATCCGTACAATGGGTCAATGGTAGCGCCTACGTTATTACAGGGTGGTTTTAAAGATTAAATAGGTTAGGGCAGGTAAGGCGTATATAAGCTGCCTCATTCTAAGCTCTTTCTAGATGTTAGCTGTTTGATTATTACTCCTCTTTCCCTGGAGGGATAACCAACATCAACAAGTCAGATTGTATTCTTTCAGGTATTCCTCTGCAGACTTACTAGTGTGAGTCTGTACTAAGTAAGTGGGATCACACTTGCATGAGTTTCTGCCAGTAGCCTTTCTTGTTTAACAATGCCTATCTTTCTGGCGCAGTCCCTGTGAGTCCTGGAAGGCTGGAGTCCAGTGCTAGGCAAAGGGAGTGGTACCACTATACGATTCTTTCCATACTGATGGACATTTCTGTTGTTCCCAATTTTTCACTATTACAAAGCAAACTGCAGCCGTGTTCCTTGTTCCTTCATCTTTGCATATCTTTATTTCTTTAGGATAAATCCTCAGATGTGCAATTGCTTGGTATGAGTCTTTAAAAATGCCTTTTAATCTTAGCCTTGATATTTGATATGTACAGTGCTTTACGCTCATCCTCTTTTTATCCTCATTTTTTCTCCTTCCAGCTGTTCAATGATATGTCTAATAACATGTCGTTGATGTATTTAATCAGTGGACCTGGTGTGGATGAATATCCAGAGATTGGTTTGTTTTCTCTAGAAGAACATGAGAATGGAAAAATATATGTTCACCGCCCTGTGGATCGAGAGACCACACCATCTTTTATGGTACCTAAAATTTGATATATTCTAAGCTTGGATTTACTGTAAAGCTCTTGCAGGAATATTGTATCCAGTAAGCATTATTTAAGCTGACTATGTGCCAGGTTCTGGGAGATCGATATTTCATACACTGTGGCAAGCTTTGGAAGTACACATGGGAGACAGATCAATTTTGTAACGTTGTTTTAGAGTTCTAGACTTTGACTTTGTAATGATTTGTACAATCTATATGAGCTGCTACAGATCTTCCTTCTAATGACTGATATCGCAACACGATAAGGACATCTGAAAGTATTTGGGGATAGAGCTACAGAATATTTACAAAAGGGGCTATTTAGTTTCGATGAGTCACAGTTGGAATCTATGGAGAGACACTACAAATAGACTTAATGGGTAGCCTAATAACTGATGAATGAGGAATTACATACCTGATGACAGTTTCTTATTGTGTGTCCAGGTTCTTTATGATTTCATCACCCCAACCCCATGGTCTACTATGCTGAAATTCCGGTTCTAAACCAGGAAAGGAAATTATAAAGGAAAATGCCCCAAACCACGTGGTATATCTCATTACCAACCTAACCTTACAGGGGTTCTTAGCAAGTCAGCCTTTGTTCTGTTTTGACTTCTGCTGGAAACTAGGCTTGATTCTCAGGCCTGCTTGGCTATACATTAACCCCTTCAGGATGGGAAGACATTGCTTGACATCTGAAAGAAATAATTTATATAGCTTTTCTCCAATGATCTCAAAATATTTATGTGCATCATAAAATATATACCCTTAACTCACTGACAGGCTCAGAATCTCTCATTCTTAAGCAGGCAAAAATTCTCCCCAAACTCAAAGGCTTGCAAAGATGACTCTCTGGGTCTTCTCTATCCACTAAACCCTTGTCCCTCTCCCCAGAATTTGCAGGATCTGTTAAAAAGAAGGAATAAAAAGAAGGGTAATAGGTGGAACCCTGGGGCAGCACTTCTCAATCTTTAATGAGTAAGCGGATCACTTAGGGATCTTGTTAAAATGCAGATTCTGTTTCAGTAGGTCTGTGGGTGAGGGTGGGGTGGGTGCGGCTGAGGTTCTGCATTCCTAACAAGCTGAAACCGTGAAACTTCTAGAAGAAAACATAGGCAGTATGCTCTTCCGAATCAGTCTTAGCAACATATTTTCAAGCACCATGTCTGACCGGGCAAGAGAAACAGTAGAAAAAATAAACAAATGTGACTACATCAAACTAAAAAGCTTCTGCACAGCAAAGGAAACCATCAACAAAACGAAAAGACAACCTAACAATTGGGAGAAGATATTTACAAACCATACATCTGATAAGGGGTTAATCTCCAAAATATATAAAGAACTCATGCATCTCAACAACAAAAAAACCAACAACCCAATTAAAAAATGGGCAAAAGATCTGAACAGACATTTCTCCAAAGAAGATATACAGATGACCAACAGGCACATGAAAAAGCTGTTCAACATCATTAACTATCAGGGAAATGCAAATCAAAACTACAAGGAGATATCACCTCACTCCCGTTAGAATGGCTATAATTAACAAGACAGGAAACAACAAGTGTTGGAGAGGATGTGCAGAGAAGGGAACTCTCATACACTGCTGGTGGGAGTGCAAACTGGTGCAGCTACTATGGAAAACAGTATGGAGATTCCTCAAAAAATTAAGGATAGAACTACCATATGATCCAGCTATTCCACTGCTGGAATAGTTCCAAAGAACGTGAAAACACCAATGCGTAAAGATACGTGCACCCCTGTGTTCATTGCACATTAGTCATAATAGCCAAGACTTGGAAGCAACCTAAGTGCCCATCAAGGGACGAATGGATAAAGAAGATGTGGTATATATACACAATGGAATACTACTCAGCCATAAGAAACGATGAAATCCAGCCATTTGTGACAACATGGATGGACATTGAGGGTATTATGCTAAGTGAAATAAGTCAGAGGGAGAAGGTCAAATATCATATGATCTCACTCATTAAGTAGTAGACAAAAACAACAACAAACACATAGAGACAGAGATTGGATTGGTGGTTACCAGAGGGGAAGTAGGGAGGGAGGAGGGTGAAAGGGATAATTAGGCACATGTGTGTGGTAATGGATTGTAATTAGTATCTGGGTGGTGAACATGAGAACATGATGTAATCTATGCAGAAATAGAAGCATAATGATGTACACCTGAAATTTATACAATGTTATAAACCAATGTTACAGCAATAAAAAAAAAAAGACTGAGTTGGAAAGGGAAAATGTATGACTTTTTTCTGTATAGCAATCTTATCCATTTATATCAAAATATGCTCAATTTCATAGGATACAAATACACTCAAGAAAATCCATCCTTTTTATTCCTCATAATAATTATTTGTTGATCTTTATCCCAACACAGTCATCTTTGCCTACTTATAACCTATGCATATAAGTGATTTTGCATTGTGTTTGGCATTTAGGATCTTTCCGTACGCTCATTTGTGTTTAAGAGTATAGATCTCGCACATGTAATTTCAAATAGCCATATGCCAATCCACAATGTCAATGTGCTATGGTGTGTTTATCCAAGGATATAAATCTCAAGGCTATAACAAAAGGCTGAAAACCCTTTCCAACTGTAGAAAATATCCATGACATTTTCTTTCTCCATTGTGATTCTGAGCTCCCTGGAAATTCTTAGCATCTTGCCAAAGAATAAACAACACTTATGCCTCTCAGGCATCTTACAGAACTAAAGGTCTCAGATGTAGCTTTTAGGATAATAAATGGAATATAAAATAATAAACATAAAACAAACATGTGGTTGTTGTTTTTAAGTGGGAGGATTACAGTTGGCGTGGTTTCAGAGCCAGAAGTCAGGGTGATTAAGGAGCAAAGAGCTGCCAGCACAGTCATAAATTATGGAAGAGCATGTAGAAATGGTGTGTGAGAAAGCCAATTTGCTTGCGCAGAAATTTAAAAATGTATGTTGGAGTCAGTCCCAAAAGCAGACCAGTTCAGCAGTAGTCGCATTGCAGCATCCTTTGTCTTGTAGGGGGAGAGGGGAGAGCCGAACCGGAGTAGACTTGGGGCCAGGCCACCATTTTAGGATGTCCAGTGGGACCACCAGCGTGGATGCCGATGAGTGAGCAGCGAGTCTGCAGGGAAGGAGGCCCAAGGAGGCGTGTACAGCAAAGTAGAGGAGAAGACCTTGTGGGCCCTGAGGAAAAGGGGTAGAGAGATGCTGCCTGAAGCTGTCAAGGTCCTGGGATGCCCGTCTGGTGAAGCTGCCTGCTCTGCGCTCTGTGTGGCTATAGAGGGAAGTCTGAAGAACTGGCTGACGGCGCAGCCAAGTCTACACCTAATAGGACTTGAATCTAGGCTGCTCTGCCTCCAAGCTGAGAGCTGGACAGCCATGGAACCTCTCAGTGGTGCAGAGCGGAGTGATATGGGCGCCTCCATCTAGGGCTTCTGCAAGAAAGAAAGGGCTCGGCCCAGTCGCGGTGTCTTCCCCGGGCCTCAGTGAAGCTTCTGCTCCTGGAATAAACCTCGTGCTTACTCAGCATACCTGAGCAGGACTCTGTACCTGGCAACCTGTTGACCCCCGAGAAACCAACGTTCCCAGTGTAAAGGGTCGTCTGCCTTGAGAGTGCTTTGATGCAACATTCATCCCCTTCTCCTCTTTTTCTGTAACTCTGAACTTCTGCCTGGCTGCGGACTCTTTCCCCACAATCTCAGCCTTCAACAAATAAAATCATTATTTATCCTAAGCAATGAGAGATTCAATAGCAAGTCAGATTAGACTTACTTTTAAAAATATGTATATAGTTGCTCACTTTTTATTTTACAAGTAGGGACTTTTAAAAAAATTAATAGACTATTTTTCAGCATCGTTTTAGGTTTAGGAAAGTACAGAGTTCCTATATACCCCCACAGTTTCCCACTTACCCCCACAGTTTCTCCTATTATTAACATCTTGCATTAGTGTAGTCCATTTGTTACAATCGATGAGCCAATATGCTACAATATTATTAACTAAGCCCATAATTTACTGTCGAGTTCACTCTCGGTATTGTGCATTCTGTGGGTTTTGACAGATGTATAGAGACATGTGTCCACGCTTGTCGTAGAGACATGTGCCCACACTTGTATTGTCGTACAGAATAGTTTCACTGTCCTAAAATTCCCCTGTGCTCTGCCTATCCATACCTTCCTTCCCCCTGAGCCCATGGCAACCGCTGATCCTTTTACTATCTCCATAGTTTTGCCTTTTCCAGAATGTCATATGATTGGAATCCTACATATGTAGCATGTTCAGATTGGCTGCTTTCTCTTAGCATTACGCACTGAAGTTTCCTGCATGTCTTTTTATCGCTGTATAATACACTGTTGTCTGGATGTACCACAATTTGTTTACCCATCCACCTACTGACGGATATCTTGGTTGCCTGCAAGTTTTGGCAATTATGAATAAGCTCCTTTAAAAATTCACATGCAGGTTTTTGTGTGGACATAAGTTTTCATCTCCTTTGGGTAAATACTAAAGAGTGCTATTGCTGGATCATGTGCTAAAAGTATGTTTAGTTTTGTAAGAAACAGCCAAACTGTCTTCCAAAGAGGCTGCACCATTGTGCATTCCCACCAGCAATGAATGAGAGTTTCTGTTGCTTATCTCACTTTTTAGGTGTAAAATTAATAAAAGCATCTTACGAAAATTTAAATAATACAAAGTTCTATGAAACAGGCATTAAAAACCTTGCCCTCACCCCCAACTTTCCCCTCTGGTCTGATTCCACAGAGGTGACCACCTTACATCTATGTCCTTCCAGGCATTTTTACTATATATGGCCAACATATAAAGGTTTAAAATTTATTACAATTTTATGAAAATTAAGTATTTAACTTAAACATTTTGATCTAGTGCAAGAACAGTAATTTCTCTGCACAGACAGCATCTGAGTTGCCCCTGCTGACATGACATGAGCATTTGTGACCCTAGATAGATGCTCGCTTTCCAAGGAGCAGGGCCATTTTCGGCTCCCTCTGATGTGGTCACTGAGTGACTTAGCTATTTCTTCTCCTCTAAGGTAAATGACTGAGACAGTGGTGCCTCTCCTCTTAAAATCTTGGTCTTAAAGAGCTGGTTGCTGGTGCTGATGTGATCTTATGGAAACATCCGCACAGATGGAAATGAAGTGATCCACTTGAAGAAGATGCCTCTGAATATTCTCAGAAGTAGACTTAAGATTGTTGCCTTTGCTAATATATTTTTATTTCTAATATTTTTGTATGCCCTTGTAGCTTCCCATAATCATTTGCAAAAAATATGGCCTCACACCAAAATATATGGTAATGAGGGGGTATAATTGGCTTTCAAGGAGACAAAATGACCCTGGGTTTCCCACTGGCATCTCAGCGTTCATTGCATGCACGCACGCCAATTTTAGCACCTGCTCAGAGCAGAATGATGGAAGCATCTTTGCAGCAGAGATCATGTGAGAAAGGCTTGCTCTCTCAAGATGCATCAGTTTTGATACATCTCCAGCAGCTCCAGAGAACGCTTTTCTTTCTCTGCAAACAATCACTAGTCCTTAGTGCTACGAGGTATTGCTATTTGCATAAAACAGAATCAAGGCTTTTGTTGTGATTCCGACAGCCTTTTGTTTGTTTGTTTTCACATATAATGGCTCTTTTGTATAAGTATGGGTGATAACGCATTTCCTGAATCTCTTAGAGTCATGTTTTGGCTGAAGTAGAATGAATGTGGCCCACTATCTCTCTGCTTTCTGTTATGGTCTCTGTGACTTTCTGATCACAACCAAGGGACATAAACAACGCCTTGTGTGATCGTGATTCCTCTGTCAACAGAGCCTTCACTACAATTGTTCCTTTGTCAACAGCAATTGCATGGCTCATTTCCTTTCTGCTTTTTCATTCCATAAATATTTCTTGAATCGAATTCACTATGAGGTGAGTTTTGTGAGACTCAGAAATCTCCCTGCAAGCTACCAAAACAGAAACTTTTACACTACCACACTGTCAAACTTAAAAAGACTTCTGGTTATTTCCTCATGCCCAAGCCTCTGATGTACAAAATAAAGGAATCATACATTTATTTATATTACCAAGCATTTTGCATATGTGAAATATCTCTCAGGACAAAAGATTTTTAGTAACATACTTTCTACAAGGAACTTGAGGTTTAGGAGTCATAGCTTTGGCAAATCTCAAAAATCCCTTATTGACAAATACAACAATGATTGGGTATCTATAAATTATCATCTCACAAGCTTTTATTTACTTCTTAGGCCTCATAGAATCAAAATGTGCTCGTCATATCTAGATTTGATGTTTGAATGATGGGAACAAAGCGTATTTTGATATACTGTGTTTTCATTACCATTTGGTTTGGAATGTTTCCTGATTTCCATTGTGATTTCTTTTCGACCATAAGTTATTTAGAAGTGTTTTGCTGAACTTCCAAACTTAACTTGGGGTTTTAAGTTATCTCTTTCTTAATGATTTCTAGCTTAATATACTCTATGTGGTTGTGATTTTTTGAAATTTGTCAAGACTTGCTTTGTATCCTAGCATATGATCAATTTGGTAAATGGTCAATATGCTCTTGAAAAGAATGTGTACACTGCAGGGTTCAGTACACTTTTATTTATGGCAACAATCACATCAAATCTGTTGATTGTGTTTAAATCTTTGATATTCTTACTGATTATCTGTTTTTGTTTATCTGCTTGTTCTATCAGTTTCGGAAAGAGGTATGTTAAAATCTCTACTTCTCATTTTAGTTCCCTTTTAGCTTTATATATGTTGAGGCTATATTATCAGGTGCATGCAAATTTAGAATTGCTATATCACATCTTCCTCATAGATTGTGCCTTTTATGATTTTCTTTTTTTTTTTTTTTTTGTGACGAAGATCAGCCCTGAGCTAACATCCGTGCTAATCCTCCTCTTTTTGCTGAGGAAGACCAGCTCTGAGCTAACATCTATTGCCAATCTTCCTCCTTTTTTTTCCCCCAAAGCCCCAGTAGATAGTTGTATGTCATAGCTGCACATCCTTCTAGTTGCTGTATGTGGGATGTGGCCTCAGCATGGCCGGAGAAGCGGTGCAATGGTGCGCGCCCGGGATCCGAACCTGGGCCGCCAGTAGCGGAGCACATGCACTTAACCACTAAGCCATGGGGCCGGCCCTTTTTATGATTTTGAAACATCCCCATTTATCTCTAGTAAGACTTCTAGCCTTAAAGTTTGATATTTTGATATTTGTAGCTAGACAACTAGATAAGCTTCTTTTGGTGAGTCTTTGAAAATCAATCAATCTATCTATCTGTCTATCATCTATCATCTATCTATCGTCAAAGACTAACCAAAAGGATCTCATACATACAGAAAGCATTATATATATACTTTTACCTTCAACTTTTCGACCTTATCTCTTGTAAGCAGCATATAGTTGTGTCTTGTCTAATTTTGTTTTTTAATTGGTATATTTGGTATTTTATGTTTAATATAAAAACTGATAGGGCCGGCCCCATGGCTTAGCAGTTAAGTGCGCGCACGGTCCGCTACTGGCGGCCCGGGTTCAGATCCCGGGTGCGCAACGACGCACCGCTTCCCTGGCCACGCTGAGGCCGCATCCCACATACAGCAACTAGAAGGATGTGCAGCTATGACATACAACTATCTACTGGGGCTTTGGGGAAGAAAATAAATAAATAAAATTAAATTAAAAAAAAAACTGATATATTTGTGTTAAATTTATCCTCTTATTGTTTATTTTCTCTTTGTTCAACTGTTCTAGGCTCTTTTCCCTCTCTTTTCTTATTTTTTTAAATTAATTATTTTTTATTATTCATTTTTTTCCTCCTCTATTAGTCACTTATACATTCTTTTACTGTTCATTTAATGATTACTCTAGAAATTGCAACATTCATTCTTCACTTATCAGATTTAATATAAAGTATTTTTATAATTTCTTGGACAATGCTATGACTTTGCAACCCTTAATGGCATTTACTCCTTCCACATGTTGTGAGTATTTTATTTTTTAAATTTGCATAAAGTAAAATCTATGCCTTTTGGCGTCCAGTTTTGACAAGCGCAGCATTGTATAACCACCACCACAATCAAAATACAGGACAGTTCCGTTACTCCCAATATTTCCTTATGCTTCTCCTTTATAATCAAACCCTCCTCTAACCCTTAACCTTTGATAACCAGTAAACTGTACTCCATCCCCACATTTTTACCTTGTTTACCGTGCCATATAAATGGAAGCACACAGAATGTCACTTTTTAAGTCTGGATTTTTTCACTTAGCGTAATGCATATGAGATTCATCTATGTTGTTGTGTGCATTGATAGTTTGATCCTTTTTATTGCTGAGTAGTATTCCATTTTATGGATGTACCACAATTTATCAACTCATCAGTTGAAGGACATGTGAGGTCTTCCCAGTTTTTGGTGACAAACAAAGCTATGTAAGCATATGGGTTTTTATGTGAACATAAGTTTTCCTCTCTTTTAGGTAAATACCTAGGAGTGCATTTGTTGGATCATATGATAAGTCTATGTTTAACTTTATCAGAAACTCCTAAACTATTTTTCAGAGTGACTGAACTATTTTGCATTCTCACTAGCAACATATAAGAATTCCAATTGCTCCGCATCTTTGTCAGGTTTTTCATGTTAGCCATTCTAATTGATGTGTAAAACTATCTCATTGGGGTTTTTATTTGGATTTCCCTAATGACAAATGATGAATTATTTGCCATCTGTATATCTTCTTTGAAGAAGTGTCTGTTCAAATCCTTTGCCTATTTTTAACATTTGAAAGGTCACAGGAAATAAAATTAATACGTAAAAATCAGTTGTGTTTCTGTATATCAGCTATGAATAATCCGAAATCAAGATTTTAAAAACAATGCCATTTACAGTATCACCAAACAAAGTGCTTAGGTATAAATCTAAAATATGTGTGGGATCTGTTTGCTCAAAACTATAAAACACTGGTGAAAGCAATCAAAGAAGACCTAATCAAATGAAAAATGTTTATGGATTGAAAGATTAAATATTAAGATGGAAATTCTTCTCAAATTTATCTATAAATTCAGTGCAAACCTAATAAAAAGTCTAACAGAAATTTTTATAGATATCACAAGCTGATCCTAAAATTTATATGGAAAGGCAAACCAACTCGTGGTTTCATTGACTTTACTATTTTGCTATTTTCAATTTTATTGATATATGCTTTTATCTTTATTATTTTCTTCTGAGTTTAATTTGTTCTTTTTTTTTTTTTTTTTTAACTTTCTTAAGAAACTAAAGATAGAAGCTTAAATTATTGGTTTGAGATGTTTTGAAAGGAAGGACTTCTCCCAGGCATGTTTGAGATGAATTGACCTTCCTTATTCAAGGACAGAAATAACAGCAGTGACCATTTAAGAACCCGCCTTGTATCTGTAGCTGTGCTAGTTACTTTAAATATTTACTTTCCCAAGAACTTGTAAGTTTCTGCTGTCTGTGATGTTTCAGCAATATTTATTAGTGTGTTTATTTCTCGTTACAACACTAATAAGATAAAAAACTGAGGCTCGTAAGCAACTGGCTTATGTTTACCCGGGTGGAGAAATGGAGATTCAAGTCAGTGCATTGCTCTGTTCTACAAGTGTTTATTGAGCACCTAGTCTATGCCAGCACTGTGCTCAATCCCTGGGGTCACACAGAGAATGAGAGCGATATGACCCCTGCCCTCAGGAACTATCAGTCTAGTGGAGGAGACACACTGAAACACTACATTACATTAACGGTTATCTGTCGTCAAGTAAATGATTCTGCAACATTAATATAGTTCTCTGCTTCCTAGGTTTATTTTGATGTGATGAATCGCCTAACAGGAAAAATTGTGGACAAATCCTTGATTTTCAACGTTAGGATCAGTGATGTGAATGACCATGCACCCCAGTTCCCTGAGGAGGAATTTGACGTCAGTGTGAGAGAGGACCACGCTGCAGGTGTGTGTGCCGGGCTGCAGGTTTCCTTTCCCCTCTGTACCACAAAGCTTTCCTGCTTCCATACTGATGGAGCCCTTGCTCCTAGTTGTCTGCAGGGAGACATTTCATGGTTCACATCGCAAAGATCACAGGCCCTGGCTTAGAGCGAAATGCTTTGAGGTCTGCAAGCCTCACCTCCTATTGGCAATAAAATGATGTGGAAATTGTGTCTGTTGGAAGAGCTGATATGTAAATACCAATCTAAAACAAAGCCAAATGCAATGATGGAAAAAGGCAGAGCTGGGTGGTGAGTTCCTGAATCTCTCTGCGAATTTCTCAGCTGTAATATGACAACAAGACAGCATCTAAAGTTCCTGAGTTACGGATTCTGTGAGTCTTTACATCCAAACCACTCTTATTAGAATGCGCATCTATTTAACAACAAAAAAACATTATTCATTTTGTAAAATAGTATTTGGATAATTTGGAAAAATTCCAAGAAATGAAAAGACTGAAATAGAAAGCATCTTCAATACTACCAATTAGAGATAAGTACCATCAATGTTTTAGTTTATATTCTTTCAATATTTTCTTTGCATTTTATATGTGTGTATACACACACCATATATTATATTTACATATGTGTATGTATTCACAGATTTTTATATATAATTACAAATGCATATTTGTGTATCTACATACTTTTTCCATCTTTTTCAGAGTACAAAATGTGTATGTGTATATACGAAATATTTACACATAGATGGGCGTGTTTTTTTATAAGTGTATGTTTAGGAAATTTATTTTTAAAAAAACGGAACTTTACTGTTTGTAACCTAACAGTATTCTCCTACAGCACCCTATTGCATAATATTTTATTTTATGGATCTGCTTTAAGGTATTTAACTAATCTCCTTTTGTTGGACATTAATGTTTTGTTGCCACATTTTGTTATTTTCACAAAATATGCTTCAGTGAATATATTTGAGCTAAATCTGTGTCCCATTCAAGCACTATTTACTTAGCTAAATCCAGAGAAATAGAATTGCTAGTTCAAACTGCACACATGATTTAAGTATTCCAGTTTATTCGTCTACCAGCAACATGTGAGAGGGCCCAGTGTATTGTTCATCTTTGATTATTAACTGCTTAAACATTTTTATAGGTTTGTTGGTCATTTCTATTCCTTTTACCAGTTGCTTCTTCCTTTCTTTGTCCGTTTCTGTTCGTGTTTGCCATTTCTCTCCTTGATTTTAACCTCCTCATTCTATATTAAGAATGTCTGTGTCTGCCGTTTACATTTCAAATATGTTTTCCTGGTTTGTCTTTTCCTCTTTGATTTTGTCTGTAGTTTTTGCCACACATTTAAAAATCTATCTGATCTATCAATTTTGTTCTTTAAGTCTTCTGCATTTGCAGTCATGGTTAGAAAGTTCCTCTTGACCTTATGACTATTTAAATATTCCTCTTTATTTTGTTGAGTATAGCTAAGGTTCCATTTTATATTTAAATGTTTAATGCATTCTGATGTACGCCCCAATGTCCTTTAGCAAAGAAACATCCTCCTACTGGTTTGATAGGCTGCCTGAGGCCAATAATAACAATTGAAAAAAATTCTTTCCAGGTCAACCTATTTTTCAGATGTTAACAGTTGATTTGGATCAAGAAAATACTCCAAATTCTCAAGTCCTTTATTTCCTTGTTTCTCAAATGCCGATACTGAAAGAAAGTGGCTTCCGGATTGACCGTATTAGTGGAGAAATACGACTCTCAGGATGCTTAGATTATGAGGTTATGTGGATTTTATTATTTCAAAAAAATGAAATGTGTTCTCTATCTCTGAGCCTCAGACTTAGGATTTACGTTTGCAATGAGAAACCTTCTATGGCTAGACTTGCTATTGAAATTGGTAAAATGGAATATTTCTTTATTACTATTTCGCTGTCCTGTATTTGAAGGGCTTAACTTCCCTTTCTTTCCCCACATAGACTGCTCCTCGGTTTACACTACTGATTGGAGCGAGGGATTGCGGAGAACCACCGTTGTCATCCACGGCCACGGTGCATGTCAACGTGCAAGATGGCAACAACCACATGCCCACATTTGCTCAGGAGAACGTAAGGCACCTGGGCTGCCTCGAATTCCAGTCCCGACATGAATGGCCCCCAAGTCCTAGGCTCACATTTGCTGAGGGAACCGCCATATGACCCTACATACATGTAATTCTGCAAAATAACTTAAACTAGAATCAAGAAGTTGACCATATTGATATATAATCATTTGAGAATAGTCACATGAGCTCATATTTTTTACTACTTTATGCCAGAAACTGTGCTAAGAACCTTTACATGCATTATTTCATTTTTAATTGTTGGAACTACCACGTGATTTCTGTTTTATAGATGAGGACACCGAGGCCTAGGGAAGATGGGGAATCCACGCTCACTCTGCATCAGGGTTTCTCAGCTTCTACACTATTGACATTTGGGTTGGAAAATTCTTTGTTGGAGGAGGCTGCCCAGTGTATTATAGGATGTTTAGTGCAGCTCTGACCTCTACTCACTAGTATTCCCCAGTAGTGACACCAAAAATGCCTCCGGACATTGCCAAACGTCCCCTGAGGGGCAGAATCGCCCCTGGGTGAAGAGTCTAGACCTGAGCTTTTCACACAACCTTCAGGGCTCTAGCATAGGAAGATGAGCAGGTGGGCTCTGGCCTTGCCTCCTCGGCTTACCTGATTTATATATCGGGGGTCCACATAGGATTTCACACTCTGCAAGACCCCCAGACTTGAAGAAAGTGTTGAAATCCACCGTGTGAGGCCAGTTTGGAAATACCGTACCACTTAAGATATGCTAGACTGCTAACAGAGAAGATAAAAGCCACTCAGGATCTGCCTCCAATGTTTTATTTTTTAGTATTCCACATGAATTTTTTAAAGAAAAATATCCATTGTATTTCTGTCTTTCTCCTGACCTCTCTCAATGAGGCCTTTCCTGACAACCTAGCTAAATCCCCAACTCACCCCCTCAACATACACACACTCAGTCATCAGCTCCCTGGGGGTGGGAATTTGCCTGTCTCGTTCACAGCACCTAAAACGGAACCTGGTACATAGCAGTCTTTGTTGAATAAATAAATGCTACAAACACTTATTTTTCAAAAGTGTCATTTAAAAGAAAATTTTTAATTGTATAAACCAAAGCTGAAATGTTTTCAATGAAAGTACTTCACCAAATAATATAGAATAACTGAAAAATACTATTTATTATGTTTGAGCCTTGTTCCAAAATCCTTCTCTGGCTTGGTGAAAAGCTGTGCTCTCAAAAGTAGGCTGGAAAAAATATACGCTGTTATTTTGATGTGCTTGTCGAGAGAAATTATCTTGTCACCAAAAGTATTGAATGAGAAGCCATTTTAAAGATCTATATGTGTTAGAAAAATGATCGCCTAAATCTAAATAACTATAAGAGTTCTACTTTAGGAGAAGAGCTAGGTTTTTTAGGCAGCATAAACTGGGATGTGTATCATTATTTTTAAGATTCTTAGAAAAATAGTGCATTGGGTTGGATTGAAGAGTACTTTTAAAGTCATTCAGCTGTAGACACGAGGTCACAGGGAAAAGGGATGAGGTATTTGTTATTGATGCTTGTTCTGCTGTATCAGGCAGACTTTCAAATCCCTTGAGGTCCAGTTCAATAACAAGAGAAAGATCCAGGTCGTTGTGCTATGGCCTGAAATTTTCTCTCTTTTTCGCTTTCTTTTTTAATTGTGTTTCTTTATCTCTATGACATGGAAATGATGATTGCCTCTCCCAGTATGAGATTCAGATTTCTGAAGGCCAAGTCGGCCAGAGCTTGCTGCGTCTCCTGGTCCGAGATGATGATACGCCGCTTACGTCAGCTTGGAGAGCAAAGTTCAACATATCGAATGGCAATGAAGAGGGACATTTTGACATTTTGACTGACCCTGAGACCAATGAAGGGATTTTAAATGTCATCAAGGTACAGCCGTAATGAATGCATACCAGCCAGGTGGTCACAGATGTTAAGGCCCCTTTCTGTAGGATTCCTAATAACGAAACAGGAGCTGGCCTCGGTGAATGCTGACTGTGTGCTGAGCACATTGCATGCAGTATGTCATGAGTCCCCAGGGCACCCAGTGAGGAAGGCAGGGCTGTGTCACGACTTCTGCCATGGGCCCTTGGCCCTTTTGCTTTGTAGCTCCTTCCACCAAAATAATATCAATATTAAAAATTATTTTTGATACGACTTTACTTCAACATCTAGTTTTTTTTTTTGTTATAGACAAAGTTTAATAGATTTACATAGGCTACAAAATGTTTCTTTTGTTCTGATATGATAAAAATATTTAAAACATTTTCTCTAACCCTAAGAGTTCATTTTTTTCCTTCTGCGTTTAAAAGAAATTAGAACATTTGCACGGGCCGGTAAAAGTATTGTGGGCCCCTGGCACTTTGCCTGCTGTGCCTAATGGAGAGTTTGCCCTACGGGAAAGTATTATTTTCTCATTTTACTGATAAGGAAACCAAAGCCCAGAGAGTCATTTTCACGAAGTTACACAGCTGGAGTAGGGGCTCCGACTGGGGCAGTCTGACCCCAGTGTCTTTAGTATTAATTGCTCTCAGCTAGCCTCTAGAATGGCCAGAGCCTCTGGTGCAGTGCAGGTGACTCAACCTGGGGATCAGGTTCAAAGGCAGACCTGAGTTAGTAGGTCTGGGGCACGGCCCGAGTTTCTGCCTGTCAGTGTAACAAGCTCCCAGGTGATGCCAATGGGTTGTGACCGTGCTGTGGATAGCAAGGCTCTGTAGATACTCTACACTACATGCCTGGGGTGGAATTTTCCAAATATTCCTAGCTTTGCAATTCTTTTAAGTCACTGACCGCTTTGTACCCTGAGTACCTCTGATCATTAATATCTATATTTCCCTGAACTCCCCTGATTTTTTGCAGCAGGATTGTCACATTAATGTTTCACTAGGTTATGGTTTTTGTTGCATTTTTCATTACCCTCTGATGGATGGTGGCTCTTTTCAACCGGGAGAGGGGGAGAAAAAAAAACTCCACAAATGATTTGAAAATGGGCTGACGACTGTCTTTTGATCATTATCAAAGACAATGTAAATAATAAATGAAGTGCAAAAGCCACAAGCTCTGGGTGTGCAGTGATGATTCCTGCTGAGCTTCCTCCGGCCAGAGGAGCAGCAGGTGCTAATGAAATCCTCTCTCTGGGGCTCGCAGCCTTTGGATTATGAAACCCACCCAGCGCAAAGCCTTGTCGTTGCCGTGGAAAATGAAGAGCTGCTCTTCTCCTGCGAGGGGGGCAAGCTTCAGAAGCCAAGGAAGGCAGCGGCAAGCGCCACCGTGAGTGTGCTGGTGACGGATGCCAACGATCCGCCGGCCTTTCACCCCAGGAGCTTCATCGTCAGTGAAGTTGATGGCGCCAGGCCTGGAATTCAGTTGGGAATATTTAATGCTGTGGATCCAGACAGAACTGCCAGCCAGATAAGGTGAGAAGAGAGGAAGGGGAAGGGTTGTTTAAGCAGAATTAGCCACATACTCAAGAGGATTCCTGTTGGAAAAGTAGCTCCTTTGATGTGCTCATGAGGCTGAGTTTTTCTCAGATCTCAGTTATGAAAATACCAGAAGCCACCAGGAGAATACCCACTGGCCCAGGTTCAATGCCTTCTTCCTTCTGTAGTGGTCTCTGATCCCACCAGGTGGAATTTACCTGCTCATTTCCTTCTGCACTTAGCATACATCTCTTTTATTGTCTTTTTCTTGTATGAAAATAATTTGTTATGTGTTTCTACCTCCCTCTTTACCAAAGGTTGTAAACTGGCAACCCTCTGGCTTCTGGGCAACAGAAGTGTTGTTTGTTAAATTGTGGTAAAATATACCTACATAAAGTTTGTCATTTTTAAGTGCACAGTACAGTGGCATTAAGCACATTCACATTGTTGTGCAATCATCACCACCATTCTTCTCCAGAACTCTTTTCATCTTGTAAAACTGAAACTCTGTACCCATTAAACAACAATCCCTTATTTCCTCCACCCCCAGCCCCTGGCAACCACCATTCTACTTTCTGTCTCTATGAATTTGACTACTCTAGGTATTTCATATAAGTGGAATCATACAGTATTTGTATTTTTTGTGACTGGCTTATTTAATTAAGCATAATGTCCTTAAGTTTCATCTATGCTGTAGAATGTCAGAATTTCCTTCCTTTTTAAAGCTGAATAATGTTTCACTGTAAGTATATACCCCATTTTGTTTATTCATTTATCTGTCAATGGACACTTGGGTTGCTTAGTGTTTTAAAAAACAAAGTTGCCATATTCCCCAGGAAGATTGATTATGACAACTCTAGTTTTAAAAACAAAATACTTGAGTTGTTTAGAGTTTTGTTTTTAAAAATAAAGTTGCCATAATTCCCAGGAAGCTGGCAGCATGGGAAGCACCAGGAGTTGGTCTCCCCACCCAGACAACAATTGCTCTAGCAGACTCTGATGTACCTACCTTGGAACTCTGGAGTCTGTTGAAGGGTTGCAACTTCCAGGGAAGACTCAGAAGGTAAACTGCAGTTAATTTTAGTCAATTTCAGCTCTTAGCACACTGCTAGCACACTAGCAGCTACCCATCCCCCACCTCCAGCCATGTAGTAGGCAGCTGTGCATGTGTTCCTGGAGTAGTTTGCAGAGAGTTTGTGGGAGCCAGGGTGGGCAAAAGGGACCCTGTCCTCCAAATGTCTGGGATCTGTACTCTAATTGCTGCTTCCGATCACAGAGGTGCAAAGAGGTGGCAGCCCTTGTTGTTGCACCTCCCCTCCATTGTTGCAAGCCCCTCACCCTCCGGTTGAAGTGACTTCCAGGGAATTTAAAGGATCATTCCCCCCCCCTCTTTATTTTTCACTCTTTCCCCTTTCAGGAGCCAGCCATTAAAGACTAGGACATTCAAAAATGACTGCATAAGTGGGGAAAATTACAAAGTGATCATGCATGCCCAGGGAAAGGAATAGAAAAGATCTGAGAAAATATTAAGTTTTCACCTCAGTTTGATCCTTGGCACTGAGAAAGCCTACAACAATCAAAAAAACAACAACAAAAACAATAAGAAAAAACAGCAAACCTTGGGGAAGGGAGAGAATCTGATTTCCTGAGTTGCCACATTATTGGATCCAAATTTCCAGTGTTCAGCAAAAAATCACATATAAAGAAAGAGGAAAGTATAGCCCATTCAGAGGAAATAAAGAAATCAACAGAAACAGTCCCTGAAGAAGCCCTAATGGCAGATCCAGTAGACAAAGACTTGAAAACAAGTGTGTTAAAGATGCTTAAAGAACTAAAGGAAGACATGGAGAAAGTTAAGAAAATGTGTGAACAAAATGGAAATATCAATAAGGAGATAGAAAACCTAAAAAAAAACAAGGAAGAAATTCTGGAGCTAAAAAGTGCAATAACTGAAATGAAAATTTCACTAGAGGGATTTAAAGGCAGATTTAAGCAGGCAGAAGAAAGAATCAGTGAGCTTGAAGATAGGACAATGGAAATTATCAAGATTGAGGAACAGAAATAAAAAAGATTGAAGAAAAGTGAACAGAGCTTTAGGGACCTGTGGGACACCATCAAGCAGACCAAAATACACATCATGGGAGTCTCATAGGGAAAACAGAGAGAGGAAGGGACAGAGAGAATATTTGAAGAAATAATGGGGCTGAAAACTTCCCAAATTTGATGAAAGACATGAATATAAACATCAAGAAGCTCAAAGAACATCAAGTAAGATGAACTCAAATATGCACACCAAGACACATTATAATCAAACTTTCAAAAGCCAAACAAAAAGAGAGAATCTTGAAAGCAGTGAGAGGGAAGTGAATCATCATATACATGGTATCCTCAATAAGATTATCCCCAGATTTCTCCTCAGAAACTTTGGAGGACAGGAGGCAGTGCGCTGACATATTCAAAGTGCTAAAAGACAAAAACCTGTCAACCGAGAATCCTATATCTGGCAAGACTGTCCTTTAAAAGTGAGGGAGAGGGGCTGGCCCAGTGGCGTAGCAGTTAAGTTTGCGTGCTTCGCTTCAGTGGCCCGGAGTTTGCAGGTTTAGATCCTGGGCACGCACTGATGCACTGCTTGTCAAGCCATGCTGTGGCGGTGTCCCATATAAAGTAGAGGAAGATGGGCACGGATGTTAGCCTAGGGCCAATCTTCCTCAGCAAAAAAAACCCCCCAAAAAACAAAAAAAGGAGGATTGGCATTGGATGTTAGCTCAGGGCTAATCTTCTTCACACACACACACAAAAAAGTGAGGGAGAAATTAAGACATCCCCAGGTTACAAAATTTGAGGGAGTTCGTGACCACTAGACCTGCCCTGGAAGTAATACTCTAGGGAATCCTGTAAGGTGAAAAGAAAAGAGACTAAACAGTAACTCGAAGCTGTATAGAGAAATAAAGATCTCAATGAAGGTAAATACCTGGGCAATTATAAAAGCTAGTATTATTATAAGAGTGGTTTGTAACTGTACTTTTTGTTTGTTTTGAGCATGATTTAAGAGACTAAAACATTTAAAGAAAAAAGAAATTATGAGTGTAAAAGCTAGTACTACTGTAACTTTGGTTTGTAACTTCAAATCTGGTTTTCTACATAACTTAGGAGACTAATGCATTTAAAAGAATTACTAGTTTATGTTTCTGGGCACGCAATGTATAAAGATGTAATTTTGTGACGCCAACAATCGAAAGGGGTGGGAACAGAGCTGTAAAGGAGCAGGGTTTTTGTATGTTATCGAAAGTAAGCTGGTATAAATTCAAATTATAGAGTGTTATAACTTTAGGATGTTAAACGTAATCTCCAAGGTAACCACAAGGAAAATAGCTGTTGAATATACACAAAAGGAAAATAGAAAATAACTTAAACATTTAACTACAGAAAATCAACTAAACACAAAAGAGGGCAGTAATGAGGGAAATGAGGAACACAAAAGTTAGGGCACGTAGAAAACAAATATTACAATGACAGAAGAAAGTCTCTCCTTATCAGTAATTGCTTTACATGTATATGGATTAAATTCTCCAATCAAGAATGGATAAAAACACATGATCCAACTATATGCTGTCTGTGGAGACTCACTGGAACTCCAAAGACAGAAACAAGACACCATCACCATATACAAAAGTTAACTTGAAACAGATCAAGGACCTAAATGTAAAACCTAAAATAATAAAACTCTTAGAAGAAAACATAGGACAAAAGCTTCACAATACTGGATTTGGCAATGATTTCTTGGATATGACACCAAAGGCATACGCCACAAAATAAAATATAGTGAAATTGGACTTCATGAAAATTAAAACATTTTGTGCCTCAAAAACACTATCCACAGAGTACAAAGGCAATCCACAGAATGGGAGAAAATATTTGTAAATCATATATTTGATAGGAGATTAATATCCAGAATATATAGAGGACTTCTAAAACTCAACAACAAAAAAACAAACAACCTGATTTAACAATAAAGGATTTGAATAGACATTTCTCCAAAGAAGGTATACCAATGGCCAATAAGCATGTAAAAGGATGCTCAACACCACTAATCATTAGGGAAATGAAAATCAGAACTATAGTGAAATCCTACCTCACACCCATTAGGATGAGTACAGTCAAGAAAACAGAAAACAACAAATGTTGGTTGGGGTGTGAAGACATTGGAACCCTTGTACTCTGTTGGTAGGAATGTAAAATGGTACAGTTGCTGTGGAAAACAGTATGCAGGCTCCTCAAAAAATTAAAAATGGAATTACCATATGATCCAGCAATTCCACTTCTGGGTATATACCCAAAAGAATTGAAAACAGGGTCCTGAAGAGATATTGGTACACCCATGTTCATAGCTGCATTGTTCACAATAGCTAAAATGTGGAAGTAACCCAAGTGTCCATTAATGGATGAATGGATAAGCAAAATGTTGTATATACATGTAATGGAATATTATTCAGCCTTAAAAAGGAAGGAAATTTTGCAATACGCTACAACATGGATCAACCTTGAGGACATTATGCTAAGTGAAATATGCCGGTCACAAAAAGACAAATACTATATTATTCCTCTCATATGAGGTATTTAGAGTAGTCAAAATCATAGAGACAGATTCAGAGTAGAAGGGTGGGTGCTAGGGGTTGGGGGAGGGGAGAACGGAGAGTTAGTGTTTAGTAGGTATAGAGTTTCTGTTTTACAAGATGAAAAGAGTTATGGGGATGGATGGTGATGATTGTTGCACAACAATGTGAAAGTATTTAATACCACTGAACTGTACACTTAAAAATGGTTAAGATGATAAATTTCATGTTATGTGTATTTTACCACAATAAAACAAGAAAAAATAATATAGTTGCCAGCATTTAAAAATCAAGAGATTGTGCTACCAATTTAAATTATCTGGATGTTCTTGAAAAACAGAAAGATTTGGCATCACCAGGTCTGTGTCCCATGGGCCCATGATCATCTAGGGCACAGTGGGGGTCGTATGTCACGCCCCTTTGAGAGACCAAGCTCAGCAGTTGTCCCCAGTCCCCATCTGGCCAGCTTCACTCATTTCTGGCACCTGCTTGACCCCCATGAGTGCTTGAGTTTGAGCTTCTCAACTTATACATTGGGAAGAACCAGACTTCATTTCTTTTAATTGCCAATTCACTGCAGAGTGATAATTCTATAGAGTATTAAAAAATGAATTATTAGAAAAATGATTATGTACTTGGGGATCACAGCAATGCCATTGAGTATAAACATTTCCCAACACTTGCTCTCAAAATCAGAGGCTGTAAGTAGTGGTTGTCCAACTACAGCGTGAATCAGAATTGCCATGAGGGCTTGTTAAAATGCACATTGCTGGGCCCCACCCGTGGGGTTTCTGATTCTGAGGTCTGCGGTGGGGACTGAGATTTGCATTTCTAACAAGTTCCCAGGTGTTGCTGATGCTGCTGGTCCATGACCTCACTTTGAGAACACTGATGTAGAGCCGGTGTCTTATCCATTGCTGTATTCCTGTCTCTTGAGTATGGTTGGCTCATAAGTAGATCTCAGAAAACGTTTGGATTTCACTGAAGTCATGAGCTAAACAGTCTACTCACTTTAGCCTCCCATATTACCTTTTCCAAGACGTGAGTTGAGTGTCCTTTGTGACAGAGCTGAGACAGGACCTGGTGAGCTGGCTTTGTTTAGTGTGCTCGGTTCCGTCTCGTTCAGTGGAGCTACTTCTCATGCACCAATTTGCTGGGAGAGGCTGTCTTCTGCTCTGAGATGATCCACAGAAGAACTCTGAGTTTCTACCCCTGATTTGTAAACATACAAAACCACTGTTCTTCCAAGGCACTTCTGGAATTTGCTCCGCGAGTTGAAGCAGTGCATGGAAAAGCTTTGGTCCCTTTAAAAACTGTGACCTGTCGAACATCAGAGAGGGATAGATGCTGACCCTTTTCACAGCCTTTCCCAGTGAGGAAGAGAAGGCATGGGAAGCTTCCCTTCTCTGGCCCTTTTGGGGGTCTCTACCTTTTCTGTTGTTTGCCCCTGGGTACAGGAGTTTCCCTCTGTGGGTCTCTCAGCAGGCAGCTGTGCTTGGCAGCCCAACATGGTTTCAATGGATGCCATCTGATTCAACAGGTCTGGGGGAATTCTGGAGGGCTTGGCATGCCCCCTATTAAAATGGCACCAGGCATGCACACAGGTGAGGGGGGATGTAGAAGACCTCTTAGACTGACTGGGTTACCCATGTGTGAATCCTTTGGGCTCCAGGGGTAATCAAGGCCTACTCTTCTGTTTCAAAGGCAGGTTGGTTTTAACACTAAGCTACCAGGCCCTGTAGGCAACTGAAGTTTGGTTCTTTTCCAGGGTGAAATGTTTTCCCTAAGATGGGCAAAGTTGTGTGAAGCGCCACAAGGCCTGGACACAGTATTCACTGAATATCGATTTGACACCCTGATGGAGTCTTCAGGCTGAAACATTCCTGTGCCTTCATCAAATTCATAAACACTCTTGACTTAATTCTTCTTAGAATTTCCTACATCTCTTGTGATAGGAACTGTATCTGCTGGGATATGTTTTGATTTGTCTTTTGATGTAACTTTTTAATTTTAAAAATTGCCTGTGTTTCCTTCTACAAGATATAAACTGGTTCATGATCCGGCAAATTGGGTCACCGTAGATGAGCGCTCAGGAGCAGTTATCACCAGAGAGCAAATTGACCGAGAATCTCCTTATGTAAATGATAGCTTTTACGTAATCATCGTTCATGCTGTTGATGATGGTAAGTGTTTATCCAAAATTGGGGGGAAAATATGTTTTCTTGCTTCCTAAGGAAAAATAACACCAGAGTCTTTCAGCACAACTGGGAAAAATATAAAAGAAACCTTTTTTTATCACTGTGCATCCATACTGGTGATTATTTTTGATGATAATTCTTGAAATGGCAAACGAGGGGCCAATGCCATGGAAGGAAGGGCAGTGTTTGTTCAGAAGAGACGACTAAACTGATGAGGAAGTCGCAATCAAACCCAGTGTCCTTTTCATCGGTTCATAAGATAATCCTTCAGCTCTTCATCAAAGCCAGTGTGTGTGATAGATATTTAGCACAGTCTCCCTGTACTTGGAATGGCTTATAAACTCAGGTAAATGTGCCTATATGGGACAAATTTGTCATGAACCAGGATCAGTGGTTTTATAACCGTGTTTCAACACTTTCCTCTACAATCTCCCAAGGCTGAACTTTTAAACCTACCAAAACACAAAGTTGAATAAATAAAAACTTTCAAATAACATTAATAATCGTATTTAAGAAAAATCTGTGAGTTAAAACCCGGGTTCCAAGGATACGTAGCTGTATACTCGCATTTGTATAGTTAACTAGTAGAACGTTGGTTAGGAAGGTGTTAAATCTGTGTCCCTAATCAGTTTTAAGTGAGGAGAAGGAAAGTGGGGTCTGTCTTCCAGGGTCCCATGATTCTGTTATGGATGGTTTCACAACTGGCATTTTTTAAAAAGTTAAACTTTTATTTTGAGAGAATTGTAGGTTCACATGCAGTGTTAAGACATGATATCGTGGGATCCCAAGTTCCTGGTGCCCAGTGTCCCCCATTGGTAACACCTTGTAAAACCGTGGTACCTCTCACCACTAGGACATTGACATGGACACAGTCAGGATGCAGGACATTTCCACCCCCATCAGCCCTGTTTCCCTCCTGGCCCAACCCCTCTTAACACCTGGCATGACTGACGTTTTAATTTATTCTACCTGGTTCTACACATGATCTGAGGTGGCAAGTGTTTTGTTAACTTACCCCAGCCAGATATTCTGAATTTTCAAAAAAGCAAGAAAATAGATCAGGCGCCTACAGTAAAGCTTATGGATTTGAAAGGGAAATGGTTTCAGTATTTCAGTGGAATGGTCCTTTTCCTCGGAGGCTGAGAGAGCTCATTTTCCTGGGGTGTGTGCAGGGAGCAGGCTCTCTCATTGATAGGCAATCCTTCCTGGAACCCCTTACAAGGCCTCCCGCCGCAGACTGGGACGGGGACCCTGACGCTCTTCCTGTCTGACGTCAATGACAACGCCCCGACTCTCCATCCCCGTTCCCGGTACGTGGAGGTCTGTGAGTCTGCAGTGAACCAGCCCCTCGTCATCGAGGCCGAGGATGGCGACCTGGAGCCCTACTCGGACCCCTTTACCTTTGCATTGGACGATGCTGGGGGAAACGTAGAAGACACATGGAAACTGGGGGAAAATAGAGGTGAGCATTTGTATTGACCAGGGATAAAGGACTGAAAATGACAGAACCTTGACTCAAACAGATTTAGGCAAGAAAGGAATTTATTTGCTTTTGCAACTGAGGAAGAAGCCAGGTAAGCTGGTGTTCCAGGAGAGTTGGGTCTAGGTGCTCAGAGGACATCCCTGGAAGCCTGTCCGTGCCTTGGCTCTGCCTTCCTCTGGGTTCCTTCACTTTCAGGCAGGCTCTCCTCTGGGAGCAGCAGGTGCCTGCTGGGAGGCCCTGAACTCGTCCTGGCACCTGGCAAGAAGATTTATATCACCCAGTGGCTTGGCGATATAAACGCCTGCCCATCATTGTGGGTGAGGGTTGAGAGGGCAGATGTGCCAGTTGGCTGGTTCTGAGCCCACACCTGGACCTAGTAGGGATCTGGGCTTAGCATCTCCTGATCCACATGGGCTGAGAGTTCAGGAAGTGTGGGCTCTGCCAAAGGAAAATTGGGGTGGTATTACCATGAGGAACCACTGGCATCCACTTCAACATTCTCCTTTGTGCTTCTGTCAGTGGGTCTGGGGAATGTAGCGTGTTTTTTAGTTGAAAATGTGACTCATGTTTACAGTTCCCAGACCCAGAGTGTGTAGTAAAGCATTGAACCTTACCCCAAAAGACCTCTGGGCTTTGCCCTTGGCTCCTGGGAGGTGACCTCTAAGCCTTTGGAATGTCCTGCCTGATAGGAAGGAGTGTCTTTGTTTACATGGGGGTCTTACGGGGGTGGGTGATAATCAATAGGAACAATGGGATTTAGGGAGGGGCCTTTGTCATGTGGGTATCAGTCCATCTCTGGAGGGGCTGGAGACTGAGGCCAGCCATGTGGGCGGCTAACCAGGTTTACATGACCAAGCCCCTTAAAGACTCTGGATGCAAGGCTCGGAGCTTCCCTGGTCGGCAGTATTCCATGCGTGTTGTCACTCGTCAATGCTGAGAAGTAACGCTGTCCTGACCCTGCTGGAGAGAAGAACTGGAAGCTCTGTGTCTGGTGCATCTCTGGACTCTGCCCTCTGTGCTTCTTCCCTTGGCTGATTTTGATCCATATCTTTTGGCTGCAATAAACCACAGCCCTGAGTATATAGCTTTCAGTGAGTTCTGTGGCTCCTAGAAAATTATCAAACCCGAGCCTGGTCTTGGGAACCCCTGAACTTGCAGCTGGTGTCAGAAGTGAGGGTGATCTTGGTGACTGTTCCCTCCAACTTCACAGTTGGCTAACTTTCGTACAGAGCCTTGTCATATGGTAGGCCTTTAGTGAACGTGTGCAGAGTAGATGAGCAAGTGAGGAATTGATGCATGCAAGATCCTTTTCCCTTTGCAGGTCGGTCAGCTGAACTTTTAATGTTGAGAAGCCTCCCACGAGGTAACTACTCAGTGCCGCTTTTCATCGGAGACAAACAGGGACTTTCCCAGAAGCAGACTGTCCATGTGAGGGTCTGTTCCTGTCACAGTGGAGTCACATGTGCGGAGCGCTCAGTTGCAGGAGCTGGGCTTCTCCTGGGGCCCCTCGCCCCTCTCTGTGCAGTGTTCATGGCTCTGGCAGGTCAGTGGTCTGGGGGGTGGTCCTGGGGATGTGACTCTTCTCCCCAGGCTGTAAGCCAGGGGTATGGAGTCCTCTGGGGTGGGGAGCAGCTGGTGGCAGAGATCAGTAGGATGCCTGGAGAAGGACCTCTAAGCTCATCAGAGTGCCAGACTCAGATCAGAGGTTGCCACCCTGGTCAGACATGCTGCCGTCTGGCAAAAGCAGCTTCTACTCAATGAGCAGCAGTTAACAGCCATGGAATCCATAGAGGAACACTGTCTAAGGATGACCCTATGGTTTGTAATAACACTGGGGCAGGAATACACAGATGTCTACGCTCCTGGGCTTGGCGACGGCTAATAAGGAAGCTAGATTTTTGAACCAACAATACGATGTTATTGGTTGCATGGTATTAATCAATCAATTCAGCAAATAGGTTTCTGGCACCTATTTGTGCCCCGAGCTGTGCTAAATTTACAAAGTTGATTAAGACACAATTTGACCTTGTCGGTTCATGGCTGAGTTCTAAGTTAACGAACATGATCCTGTTTCAACATTGGATAAAGACGAGCTTGTGCAACCCATTTCTCCCTTTGTCTCCTCACAGTGGCTCTGCTTTTCCTGCTGCGATGCTATTTTGTGTCTGAAGCAGAGAGGCACAGATGCTCTATCCCATCTGAGGACGGCCACCAGACCTTGATCACGTATAACGATGAGAGCAAAGCCATTTCTCCCCAGGTAGTGGAACACAATGCTTCATGTTTCATGACAGTGACGTCAATGATACATATGCATATTTGTTTTCCTTCATTGTGTCCCCTCTCGTTTCTTTACTCTCACTCATATTTGAGTAGAAAATGGGTAAAAATTCCTGCGAAAGTTGTCCAACTCAACTAAATTTATTTATTGTTTTAGGTCAGTGGTTCTCAAATGGGGGCGATTTTGCCCGTCAGGGGACATGTAGCAATGTCTGGAGACGATTTTGATTGTCACCACTCAGTGGGAATACGGTGAGGGGATGATGATGCTTTTGGCATCTGGTGAGTAGAGGCCGGGGATGCGGCTAAACCTCTTGCGGTGCCCAGGACAGCCCCACCACAGAGAAGTGTCTAGCTCAAAGCGTCAGCAGTGCCAGGGTTGAGAAACCTTGTTTAGGGGAAAAATGATTTTTGCTAGGTGGCATTTCTCTAAACGGAAAGTGTGTATTCTCGCTAGTCAAATGAGTCCATGCTGGCTTCTTGGCCGTGGCCTGGGTGGAGTGAGGCAGAACCCGCCCCTCCACCCTCTCCACCAGAGGCTGGCCTTGCAGGGACAAGACCTGGGCTTTGCGTCTTATTAGCTTCATCGTAGTGAGCAAGTCATTTAACCCCACATCCTCATCTGTGAACTAGGGATGATAAAATCAACCTCACAGATTGTGGATCAAAGATGACGAAGCCTATGAAGGCAGCTCACCTTTCCCTCGACACGAGGTAATCAGCCAGTAACTGCTGCTTTTTCAAACCTGCTGCTTCTGACCCTGGCCCTGCCTTAGCTCGGTCATCCTCATAGCAACCCTGGGCTAGGGTTAGCAGGGCCAAGGGATGGAAGCATTATGAGCTCTCCTGTCTGTCTTCACCCAGAACTAAGGGTGGTTGATCCAAAAATGAAAGCCAAAGAAATGACAAAAGGAAACACCAGGTTTTGTGCACAGAGGATTCAGCTTGCCTCATCTGTTGTCTTAGACCCTCCACTGACAATTTTCTCCTGGAAGGAAGAGACTTATTGCACCAAGTGAGATGCTTGAGGGAGAAGATGGTCCTGTTAAGTTTGGTATTATGCTCAAGTAAACAGGGAGATACTCTAAAAAATGATTGGTGGCTGGAGAAACTGGCGGTTGACCAAGACTCCTAGGATTCTTCCCACATTGTCTCTTCCCTACTGATGTGAAGGAAGAGGGAATTAACAGCCTTAGGTCATGTTGTAGATGTACATGCCTGTACGACCACACGGGCCTGCTCTGAGCCCCTCCTGGGTGGGAATGAGAAGGTAGGATGGTCCAAACTATCTAGACAGCTGGATCCCCGGAAGGAATCCCCTCGCCCCAGCCATGAGAGCAGCAGCTGGCTGTTTTGATTTGTTTGTATAATTTTAAAAGAAAACCATCTTGACAAACGACAGTGTTTTGTGTAACAGATAGAATCCCTGGCCTTAGGCGGTTCCTCTCTGCTCAGATGCTCAACCGTCCAGGAAAACAGGAACAGCTTCTAGGCCCAGGGGCTGTGCTTAGCTTCTGCCTTGGTGGGCTGGGGCTGAGGTTAGCAAGCTTGGAGGAGACCAGTGGGGAAGGCGCCTCCCCAGGCTCTGGCTGCAGGCACAGCCAGGGTAGAAGAGGTGGTGCTGGGGCCCGGGTGCTGTTCTTGCTGGCCCGCAGCTTAGTGCTTGTCTCTTGGGAGGGAGGAAGCAGCTGCAGAAGCAGAGTGTGTGGAAGGGAAGATTGGTCATTGCAGGGCTGAGGCCAGGTAGGTTGGAGGGGATCTGGTGGCAAGATGGCAGTGGTCAAGGACCAGCTGTGAGAGGGACGAGAGCCCCATCCAGGACAAGGGGTCACTGTCCTCTTCTTGTACTTCAAGATGTCCTTCTCCTCATCTCCCACTTGCATCTCAGGACATACCCCCATTTCTGCCACAGTATCTTTAGGGCTCTGAGAACCGGGATCCAAAAACCTGGGTTTAGATTCCAAAACTGTGGCTTATCAGACACATAATCTAACTGAACTTTGGCTTTCAAATATAAAGTGAGATTAATAATGGTCTCTCTCTTAGGTTTATTGAACAATTCAATCAAATAACACATATAAAGTTTTTAACACAGGCTAGGGCATTGGCAGGCATGTGATAAACAGTGGCTGCCAATGTTAGTATTATTAACAGTAATTACTAATTATGTCTTTGTAGCCATTGGTAAATAATGCCGTCTCAAAGTGCATACACTTCTCCGTCCATCCGTCTCACACGAATGTACCAGCCTACAAACCTGCACACACTCACCGGGGACATTCTGTGCTCTTGGGAAGACTCCCTTCACCCAAGATGCCGTGGTTGATTCCACCTGCCTTGTCATATGCTGCTGCTTTCCACTCAAGATGGTTTACAGGATTGCATAGATGCCTCCCATCTCCATGGGAAAGCTGGTGTGCTCTTAGCCAACAGAAACCCAGCACCTGTCAACATTTGAGTCCCTCAGTGAATATTTGTTGAATGAGGAATGAATGAGACAGTGCACACAGCACTGCCAACCTCGGTGACACCAAGAGCCTTCATTTCGAGCCTTAGAAGAGGGTGAGTGTCTAGATTCGGAGGCCTATTGAAATGAAGGTCTTTTACCACCACTTGACACAAAACGCTGAACAACAAGAAACTCAACTTCCTGACCAGCAATTACAAAACCATCCCCTCCCCAAATGAGTTGTCTAGGTTTCTAGGATAGGCATCTTTTCTAGAGTCTGGGTGATTTCTGTGATGGCATAGATACAACGGGTTTGAGGAGATGTTACTCCTTGCTCTCTGCTTCTATTTCTGCCATCTGTAACTTCAGCCCCTGTCGTGTTTCTTTCCCCGGGTTCCACAGGGAACGTCAGATGTAGGGGATCAGATGACAGCCCCGTCGATCAACACAACCGAGGCAGGCGCCACGCTGGGTGCTAAGGTAACCCTCAACATATTTGCTGCTTGGGTTTAATCACAGAGGTGGCTTTGCTGGCGGCTTCCATGGCAGGGAACACCCTGGCTGCTCCCCAGACCCACATCCTAGTGATGTCCCTTTGTAAGCCCACTCCACACCTCCCTCCACCCCGGCCCCACCTGCAAAGCCCCCATGATTCCACTCAACCTAACACACCCTCGCCTCTCAGGGCAACAATGTCACGTGACTCAGTGCCCACATTTCAGTCTGTCCAGTGCCACCTTCATGACTTTTTGCTGTATGCATACGCCACTAGTACTAGTGTACTTTTAAAATATTTTTTTCTTTAAATGGATTCACGTCCAAACTAAGCACATTTCTTTAAATAGGAAATTTTATATTTCGATTGTAAATGAAAAACCACTTGTACTTGTGTAAAGAGCAGATATGGAAAACAGACAGAATAGAAATAGAACCCAATAATTCTAGGTGGCAAATGCTGCCTGCCTCTCTCTCTGTGACAAGGGAGAAGTATCAAAACCATGCTGGCACCAGACAGAGACTTTCTCCTTGTCAGTAGGAGTATGGAAGACAAATTAGAAGGGGAATAATTTTCTCACAATTATTGTGCAATTCAATGTCATTTAAAACCCTGTTGCCAAACTGGCTAAATCTTCCTGTCTTTAAGTGGTAGGTTTTCCCCACTTAGGAAAACAGCGAGTTAATCCAGGGCTGCCATAAATTATTGAGCAGGTGCCTGGCTGGGGGTGAGCAAGGCCAGGTCCAGTGGGCATTCTGTCCACCAATCCATGCTGCTGGGGGACTGGCTGCCCTTTCAGTTTGCACACAGAGGGTATGTAGGCTGATGGTGGCCTTCTCTTTCCTTCCTCCTTTACTGGTCTATAAGCTTCTGAGGCCAGAACCATTGCTCCAGATAAGCACAGTAATAGCTCTGACTTACTGACCATGGCCTGGGGTATGGCGTATGCACTCTGCAAGCACAATCCCACTGAATTTTCACCAGAACCTGTGGGGGAGGGTATCTTGTTTCCCCATTTACAGGGGAGGAAACCAAGGCCTGCAGCTTCTATTTCTTGGTGTCTCTCTCAGTTCCTTCACGGTATCCTGCAAATAGTAATTGCACCTGTGGGGGCTGGTTAAATAAACTGCCATTCACACACCTTCCCTAAGTTAAGTCATCACTTAGGATTTATTGGGTAACCCGCTATTTTAAAATCTGCTGCAAGGCATGAACTGTCTCAAATAAAACCATTGCTAAGGTCCATTGCTGCTTTATTTTCTTTGAAATTTTATTTCATTTTTGAAGGGCCCATATTAAGATAATAGAAAGCCAAAGCAGAAATTGCCCAGAATCCCACCCCTAAATCTACACAGTTTTGTTTGTCTGTGTCACTTCTAGATCTTGCCTGTGTGCATGTTCAGTGTCTGGGTATCTGTAATATTATCGATAGAATGTTACAATCCACATCTTCAGGTTGCGCTAGGCCACACAGTTCCATTTCGATACAGTCTTTTTTTTCTTGCATCTCTCCATCTTTCCTTTTCCACTCCCACTTTCCCTCCCCCTCATCATAGTGATAATTTTTATTTGCATATGAGCATATGAGCAAGGGAAGGACACACATACCTGCTTTGTTTTCAACTGGAGGGAGATGCATTATCTTTTGAGTAAGTCAGCATTTTCCCTCTAGGATATGAATGATGTGCCACCACCTCCAGCGAGTGCGTCAGACCAAGCACACTTTGTCCTGGGGACTCCGGTGAGTCACGGAAGTTCACTCCCTGCTGCAGTAACCTCAGTAATAATTGACGGTTCCCATGAGAGGCAGCCCTTCTAGAAGATTCTGTGATACTGGTGGAACAAACGCATCATCAATGAAAATCTTCTACTCTATCTAGCTATTGTTGTTATTATTTGATGAGTTGTTATTTGATAGTCCTGATCAAATATGACACTTTTTAGAACACTCACAAATAAATACCCTTTCTTGTGTCCACCTAAGGCACCAGAGATAATCTATGAGGTGCAGAGCGCGTGGCTTTGGCCCTGACCAAATTCCAGCCCAGCGACTCCTTCCCTCCTGCCCAGCTGTGCCCTGACATCCTTCTGCAGCACGTCTTTACCGACTTTCTGTACAAATTCTAGAACCATTGCTTTGCTTTTTAAAATGATTTTTCCGAAATAACTTTAGACTCACAAGAAGTTGTAAAAATAGTTCAGAGAGCTCCTGTGTACCCTTCACGCAGCTTCCCCCGAGGATAACATCTTACATAACCATAGTACACTAGCAAAACCAGAAAACTGACTCTGGTGCAACACTACTAATCCAGGTCTCTGAGGCGGACCTCATTGGACTTCCCTAGTGTAACTAGCTATTAGTTTAACAAAAAATTTACTTTTCTGATGAGAACTAAAAGAGATATTCAGGGTCCAAAGAGCCAAGGTTTTTATGATGGAAAGCTTCTGAAAAAGAATTCAAGATCCCTATAATTTCATTATCTTTTCTCAGGCTGCATTTGAGCTAAGAAAAAAAGGTGCTGTTCTTTTTTGCACAAAGATGATGCCATGAGTCCACCCTTGAAAGTGCTTGTGTATTGATAGATACATCCCTCTGGTCCTGGTAGGGCCGGACTCATGGGCATGGAACCTGGTCAGTTACATAGGGCCCTGCACAGAGGGCTGTGCTTAGTTTAATGCTCTACTGTCACCATCTTGAAATTCTTAATGTTTGGACAAGGGGTCTCACATTTTCATTTTGCACTGAGTCTTGCAAATTATGTAGGTGGTCTTGGTTCCTAGTGGCAGATGTCCCTCATTCACAAATGTTGAGGCTGTGCCCATGGCCCAAAGTGAGTATCGCTTGGCTTTTGTGGACCCAAGACAGGGCTTGAAAATCCCATATTCTCCTGCTCAATCCCCACAAAAAAACTATCAAGCTTGCCCATGGATTTTTGCTCTGAATATCTACACTGCTATCATTAGAATTATTATACCTTTAGTGCAGAAATAAAAAGCAATATGATTGCAAGAATTTCTAGTTATTTGTTTGCATCCCTGGGTGATTTATATGAAACCAATAAACTCTTCATCCTTTTTGCTTTACTTTATTTATTTATTTTTTCATCCTTTTTAAATTTCAGGGTTATGGTGTGCTTTTTGAGCCAAGATGTGTGAGGAACAAGTACTCCACTGCCGTCGTAAGTACAGATGGAGATGTTACCATGAGAGTGACCTCACTGTCTTAGCTGTGGAGAGCCCGGACAGCTGGAAGTTTGGAAGGGAGGAGGTGGTAAAAAATATACTGAACATCCAAATAAACTAAAAGGAGAAATGAATATGGAAAACAATAAGTAATTCAGGTATAAACATCTAGACTTGAAAGTGTGAGTTTTTCAGTCCCTGGAAAATTTCTTTTGCTGCTGAGTTGCTAAGAAGTTGGTCAAGGTCTGAATAGTCCTCTGCTGCGATTCTTTATAGATTTCTAGAAGTTTTGAGCTAAGGGAGCCAGAGAGGCCAATCCAGCCCATTTTTTACCTAAACCTTTTTTTTTTTTTTTTTTGGTGAGGAGGATTGGCCCTGAGCTAACATGTGTGCCAGTCTTCCTCTATTTTATGTGGGACTCCCACCACAGCATGGCCCAACAACCGATGTGCAGGTCCATGCCTGGGATCCAAACCCACGAACCCCCGGCTGCCGAAGCGGAGCACGCAAACTTAACCACTACGCCACCAGGCCAGCCCTACCTAAACATTTTTAGCAGCAAAATCCTTCTTTTCAAGTGAGAGCCTACAAAGAATGCCATTATAAATAAAACGGATTAGAGTGGCTTTTTATCAGTACCAATTTTGAGTGCACTGACATTTATAACATATGGTCACCACCCCTTACCTGTGGTTTTGCTTTCCATGGTTTCAGTTACCTGTGGTCAACTGAGGCCCAAAAATATTAAATGGAAAATTCCAGAAATAAGCAATTCGTAAGTTTTAAATTGTGAGCTGTTCTGAGTAGCGTTAGTCACTTAGTAGCTGTCCTTCCAGTACTGCAGTGCAGCCCTCATTCTACTTCATAATGGCCCCAAAGCGCAAAACTAGTGATGCTGGCAATTCGGAGATGCCAAAGAGAAGCCATAAAGTGCTTCCTTTAAGCGAAAAGGTGAAAGCTCTTGACTTAATAAGGAAAGGAAAACAATCATATGCAGAGGTTGTTAAGATCTGTGGTAACTTTTATTACAGTATATTGTTATAATTGTTCTATTCTATTATTAGTTATTATTGTTAATCTCTTCCTGCGCCTAATTTATAAATTAAACTTTATCTTAGGTATGTACATACGGGAAAAAACATAGTATATACAGGGTTCAGGACTATCTGTGGTTTCAGGCATCCACTGGGGGTCTTGGAATGTATGCCCCACAGATAAGGGGGGACTACTGTATACTTACTACCAAAGAAATCAATAAAAATAGTGATTCTGATGACAACAAAGAAATAGAAGTTGAATGTTGTAGGTGAATTTTGCAAAATTATGTTATCCTAGCACCTAATTCATTGCCTCACATTGTTGTAAATTGGTTCTTAAAGTATCAAGAAAATTTCAATTTATGCCAACAAGCAGTTTCAAATATTAAGTTTTTAGGTAGTTCAATTTATAATATCAGGATTCTCTTTGCTTATGCAAACAGACAAAAACTTCATTCAAGTTTCATAAGAGCAAATTTTGAAATTTTTGCTTTTATTTACATGTTGGGGGGACTCAATTAAAAAGATGTAAACCATTTCCCATTATATTATAAAAATAACATTAAATATTATTATTAAAATAATTTGCAAATAATTAAAATGAAATTCAAATACTCTCACTGAAGTATCTTTGAGGAGTCATAGGTCCTGGGGACACAGTCTGAAGCCAGTGCCTCAGTGCAGGGAGGCCTGGAGATGGGAAGTGGTGCTCTTGACACCTGCGGTGTGCCGTAGGACCTAAAGTTGGCTCCAGGCAAAATCCACCCTCGCCGCACACCCCTACCCCCACACCCCCACTTCCTGGAGGAGACTGTCTTCTGCCAGCCTGGGAAGGATCACCGAGTCTGACCAGCGAGCACCTGGCACAGGGGCCACATTGTAAGAAGGGCCTGCATCTCCATGATCTTCCTCTGAGAAGCCGTGGGAGCCAAAACAGATGGCCGACTGAGGGCACAGCATCTCCAATCACACGGTCCCTGCATTGGGAGCTGGGCAGCAGGTCCCCAGTTGTATTTGTAGTGGTCCACACCTTGCTCCCTTTGGCTAAGTGTGTTTAGTTCAATTCACCTTGGTGTGATGTGGCAGATAGGTAGGTAGATATGTGTATAGATAGGTGTGTATACGTATATGTATATATGTATATGTGTGTATATAGATATATAGCCTCAAGGACATGTAAAATTGTCCCAGACTTTATAATTTTTTACATATGTCTTCGGGACTGCAGTAATCCCTAAACCCAGGGAGGATCAGAAGTCACTTCAGCCATAAAAGCCACCAGTGTTTTAAAACACAAACCTTATCATCTCGCTTTCCAGTTTAAACCTTCCCAACAGCTTGCGATAGCACTGGGGATAAAGTCTGCAGCCCTAAGGCCTGTGGGGTCCTCTGTCATCTGGCCTCTGCTCACCTCTGGCCTCCCCCTCCCTCTCCAGGCTCTAGCCAGGCTGGAACACGTCGAGCTCCCTTCCAGGCGCACGCCTTTGCTGGTCTTTCTACCTGGAAAGCCCCCTCCTCCGTGGCCCTTCTGCTCCCTTCCCATGTTCCTCCTCTCCCTGAGAGGCCTCCCTGGCCCCCACTAAGTGAGGTCTCTCTTCCACATCCCTCGCTCATCACTCTCATTTCTCCTCGCCCCTGGGTGCTGGCCCTGCACCTGCGTGAGTCCGGGAGTGAGGCCGCCCTACGTTCTGTGCCCTGGGCGCCTTGCTTGCCTCACCCAGTGTGGCCTTGACTTACATGATTCAGTTGTGGGATTCGTGGGCTCCCTGGTGGCCACCCCACACGGTAGACACCGAGTCCATTTCCTCACCGCTGTACCCCCACTCCTTAGCCAGTATCCAGAGACCCAGATCCACGACCACCCGCTGAGTGAATGAGTGAAGGGCAGCAGGCCCACCGCTGAGCATGAGGTGCAGCTGACTCTGTGCGAGGTTAGGAGGCAGAGCAATTAACACCACGGGAAGAGATGCAGGCAGGGGAGCACAAGGCACAGAGGAGGCTGCCAGCGGCCAGCAACCATGCCCTAGCTCCCGGCTGCTGGCTGGGCTTGCTCCGGCTTCCTTCTTCCCGGGCAGCTGAGGTGTGATCTTGCTGGGCCTCCCCTCTCTCCCACCACACAAACAGGTGACGCCTGAGTGAACTGCCCTTGGCCCGACTCACCCTCAATGAAAGCTGTGACAGCTCTCCCCCTGGGGGGTGGCCCTCCATCTGTGCTGGGCGGCAGACACCACCAACTCGGGAGAGCCGTGAGGAGGGCTCCTCAGTGGTGTGAGGACTCTGCTTGCTTGTTTCACAGGTATCCCTGGATCCCATGGTGCCCAGACGACCCCTGGAAGTGAGGGCAGGAACGATGGCAGAGACCCTGAGTCAGGTAGGAAGGCCTCCCTGTGTCAGGTGCGCCAGCTGTGGGTTCTGCTTCCCCACCTGAGCCCAGGCTTGACCTGGGGACCCTTCCTCCTAAATCGCTGTATCAGTCAGCTCAGCTGCAGTAACAAAAGATCACAAACTGGGGGGCTGAAACAATGGATATTGATTTCTCACAGTTCCGGAGGCTAGAGGTCTAAGATCAGGGAGCCAGCGTGGTCGGGTTCTGGTAAGGACTCTCTTCCTGGTTTGCAGACAGCTGCCTTCTTGATGTGTTCTCACAGGGAAGAAAGAGAGAGCAAGTTCTCTGGTGTGTCTTCTCATAAGGGCATTAATCCCATCATGAGGACCCTACCTCATCCAACCCTAATCATCTTCCAGTGGCCCCATCTCCAAATAAATCATGTTGGGGCTTAGGGGTTCGACATAGGAGTTTGGGGGAGACGGCACAACTCAGTCCATAGCAAGCACTTTCATGGGAATCCTCATTCCAGGGGCTGTTTCTGCAGAACATGACCTAAGACAAGAGTGAGTAGTCTCTTTCTGTGAAATTATGAGAGATGTGGGTTGACTATGCTGAAGGGGATTATTGGACAGTAACATCAGATATCTCCTGGAAGGGTCCCTCAACACAGCCACCATGTATTCTTGGGAGGATTAGAAAGGTGATTTGGGAGTTGGGCAAACCCATGGGGGGTTTAAGTGGAAGGAGCCAGAGCAGTCCACACAGCGTGCCGTGGAGGGGCGAGCTCTGTGCACCCCCACTCAGGGAGCGATGCACGCAGAAGCTGCAGATGCCGCTTCTGATGTGAAGGAACCTCATACGTTGCAGGAAAGTTGGGGCTCAGACCTGTGAAATAATAAGCGCAAAGGAGTATATATATCAGTGCTAGGTGGGCTCCGTCTGCCAAGACTTATCTTATTTGGCAAACAGGCGTATAATAACCACTGCGTGCCACACTCTGTCCTAAGGGATTGGAAGGTATTAACTCACTCAGTCCTTGCATCCACCCACTGGGGCTGGTTCTATTATCTTCCTTATTATAAAATGAGGAAACCCAGGGACAAAGAAATTAAGTGACTCGTCCAAGGTCACAGCTGTAGAAAGTAGTAGAACTGAGTTCAAGCACAGGCAGCTGGGCTCCAAGGTCTGGGCGCCTGGGGACGTCAGAATCACTTGGGGAGCTTGTTGAAAAGCACCAATCCCCAGGCCCCAAGCCTGCAGATCTTGCTCTAGTGGGTCTGGGTGCTCATCAGAGCCTCCTGTGGCCCCATTTGTGAAACCCGGTGACACGCCTGGGCGACCCCTCCTCTGGCTGTCAGAGTGGATGACAGACAGGGCCGCGGGCACTGCAGCCTGAGGAAGTGAGAACCAGACTGTGCAGGGTCTAGAGTCACTGCCTGGGGTCTCCTCTGTGCCAGCTCCCTTTGGGTCCTGTCGCAGTCCCCCAGGTGGGAGCTCCGTGCCTCAGTGAGGCCCAAAGGCCACCAGGGGCTTGGTCCCTCCTGAGCCCTGCAGGATGGACAATGCCTCGCGGCTGCTGCAAAAAACCACCACGGAGGTTTTCTGCAAGTCTAGAAGCTCCCCTACAACCAGACAATCCAGGCACCTATGGGAAGGGGCCACAAACCCTGCAGAGTCACGGCGGCTGCTAGACGCTCCATCATGCCCAACGGCTGGTAAGGAAGTCATGGAAAGAGGCACGCAGAGAGAAGTGTCTGCCCATCTCTTCCTGAGCAGACTCTAGCCTCCATGGGGCCAATGCCATGTCATTACTGGTGCCTGACACATGGTGGCTGAAGAATGAATGAATGAACAAACCATTCTTCACTCCAGCCAGATGAGGTAGACAGAGCAGAAAAGGAGGCTCAGGGAAGTTTCTCCAAGTGGCAAAGCTACGAGGATGCATAGCCAGGGCTGGGCACAGGTCACCCACTGCAAACCTGTCTGCCTGATCTTCGAGCAACGTCAGGGCCCCCATTTCCCATCTGTAGAGGAGCACTGGAACAGCTCCACTACATATCAGGGGTGATGCTGTGCGCAGACGGATGAAGTGGCTGCAGAAATATAGTCCATGGTTATTATCACATAGCATCTGACTCACCCATCCATATTCACATATGCACACCCCCCACCCCCCACATACAGCTGTGCCAAGTGGGCCGTGTGGACGGGGATGCAGGTTCCTGCCTGAAAGGACCAGCTGAGGACCATCCTCCTCTGTCCACCAGGCAGGCAGGCAGGCAGGTAGAATTTATTTAGTGCAAGCCTGGAGCTCTGTGCTTGGTGGTGTGAGAGGAGGAAAAAAACAGATTAGAAGGCCTAGCTCTTCCCCTTGTGGGCCTTCTAACTTAGTTGGGGGTTTATGATGAATTATTGATCTTATGAGGCCTCTAAAATTGCTGAATCAGGATGCAGAAACCCACTGCTGTGCTGTCAGCCTCGGGAGTTTTGAAGTTGAACCTCCACAGCACAGACTCCACTCCACTGTTGGGCTCTGCATGCCACGTCCGTCATTAATTATCTATTCAGCCTCACTGAAGGGACGTGACCAGACTCATAACATCTTGGCCAGAGCTGTGTATTCATTTGTTAGCTGGCAGAGCTTCCTTTCCTCCCCCACCTCGCCCCCGTGGTATATGGCCACAGTGACCACTGTCCCTGAATCAGTGGACCCGGGCACTGGGCGGGTGAATGGGTGAGCATTCCCACACTTACCTGTGGGCACCAGTAGACACAGGGCTGGGAGACAGTGTTTCCTGATAAATGGAGAGCCTAGGAAGGGCTCCTTCGAGACAGATGAAGTTGGGGACAGCTGTCTGCTGGGGTCGGGGGGAGGCCATGGCTGAGAGCTTGGGGATGTGGGTGGTCTTCAGGGCTTCTCAGCTTCTTCTTTCCGGGCCTTCCCTTCACCTCCTGCTTCCTTGGGCTCTGAGACATTTGATTCTCAATGTCTTCATGCCCTAGCTCATCCTCTCAGGAACTCTGTTAGCTAGTGACGGGTTAGAACACTCTTGCTAAACCCATCCCCACCTAGGTTGATGTAACTGGCTCAGATTTCTAACAGCACCCTCCTAAAGGTATTTGAGGGTAAATATGCAAAAGCCCTTTAACCTCATCCATCCATGCATTTATCCATCCACCCATGCATCCATCCATCCATCCATGCATCCATGCATCCACCCACCCACCCACCCACCCATCC